AACTTGGTCTTAAAGGTGCCACTGGACTGTTTTGGACCGGGGGGCTGGGGGGGGCTCTGCAGCTTACCTGGCTGCTTCTTGCTCTGACTGAGGGCTGCTGGGAGCAGGGGGTGGGGCTTGTTGCATGTGCCCGCCCCCTGGGCTCTTTACTGCCGGAGCTCCTCTTCTGTGCGCTCCGGCAGGAAATGACCCCTGCTTGCAGGTGATGTAAAAAGCCTCTGCCTGAGGGCTTGGGAGAGCCACGGCCAGTCTGAGTGGACCATACTGACCTTGAAGGACCAAGGACCTGGTTCAGTATAAGGCAGCTTCATGTGTTCATGTGAGTTTTGGACTGTCCGGCTGTACTTCACCAGGGGCCTGGTGGAAACTCTCTGCCGAGTGACATCCATGCCCTGTGGGACTTCGTGCAGTTCTGCGGGGCCTGCAAGACAGAGATGTTCCGCCGGGCTTATGGTTGATTTTGTAATTGAGACTGGCCTCTCCTCCTCCTTTCCAGTTTGGTGTGGTGGTTAAGTGCGCGGACTCTAATCTGGGAGAACTGGGTTTGATTCCCCAACTCCTTGACTTGCAGCTGCTGGATGACCTTGGGCAAGCCATAGTTCTGTCAGAGCTGTTTTTGAAAAAGCAGTTTCTGTCAGAGCTCTCTCAGCCCCACCTACCTCAGAGGGTGTCTGTTGTGGGGAGGGGAAGGGAAAGGAGTTTGTAAGCCGCTCTGAGACTCCTTTGGGTAGTGAAGGGTGGGGTATAAATCCAATCTCTTCTTTTATAATTATACTGTTGTGGTTTTGTTTAATACTGTGGCTTAGAGGTTAAGATGCTGAGCTGCAGACCGGAAGGTCTGTGGTTCGGCAGTTCGAGACCCGAGCGAGCTCCCGTCTCTGGCCCCAGCTCCTGCCAGCCTAGCAGTTTGAAAGCAAGAACTTGCAAGTAGATAAAGAGGTGCCGCTTTGGTGGGAAAGTAACAGCATTCCATGCGCCTTGGCGTTTAGTCATGCTGGACACATGACCGCTGAGAAGTCTTCGGGCAGCTCTGGCTCTTCGGCTTGGAAATGGAGATGAGCACCGCACTCTAGAGTTGGATTCGACCAGCTTTCGAGCAAGGGAAACCTTTCCCTTTACTTTAGTTCTCTAATATATTTTATGTAAGCTGCCCTGAACCTGCCTTGGCAGGGAGTGCGGGATACAAATCCAATCAAACAATAGTAGCCCTAGTTTGAGGACCTGCCTTGGGTCAGGAGACCGGATCTGTTTGGTCTCAGTATGCATTTATATGGGAGTTGTCCCTAGACTATTTGTCTTGGGCGGGGGGAATATTTGGGTATTTTATGCCCTGCAGAAGGGGAGCAAAATGCGTGCCCCATCTAGCTTCTGATGATAACCAAGCATTCTGAACTAACGAAGAGTTGTCTTCAATGGCAGACCCATGTAGTCGAGCAAGGGAAACCTTTACCTTTACTTTAGTTTTCTAATATATTTTATGTAAGCCTCCCTGAACCTGCCTTGGCAGGGAGTGCGGGATACAAATCCAATCAATCAAACAATAGTAGCCCTTGTTTGAGGTGTTCGAGGCATGGGGTGACCTGCCTTGGGTCAGGAGACCGGATCTGTTTGGTCTCAGTATGCATTTATATGGGAGTTGTCCCTAGACTATTTGTCTTGGGCGGGGGGAATATTTGGGTATTTTATGCCCTGCAGAAGGGGAGCAAAATGCGTGCCCCATCTAGCTTCTGATGATAACCAAGCATTCTGAACTAACGAAGAGTTGTCTTCAATGGCAGACCCATGTAGGGTGCACAGTTGAGGGCCTCTCCTCCCAAAGGGACCCAAAGTAGCTTACAATTTTATTCTCCCCTTCCTCCATTTTATCCTCACAATCCTGTCCCTGACAGTGTCTGACTGGCTGGAGGTCACCTAGCGAGCTTCCAAGGCAGGGCGGGAATTCGAACCCGAGTCTAAGAACATAAGAGAAGCCAGTGTTGGATCAGGCCAAAGGCCCATCCCGTCCAACACTCGGTGTCACACAGTGGCCAAAAATACCAGGTGCCATCAGGAGGTCCAGCAGTGGGGCCAGGACACTAGAAGCCCTCCCACTGTTGCCCCCCCCCCCCCAAGCGCCAAGAATACAGAGCATCACTTGCCCCAGACCAAGAGTTCCTATCTATACCTTGTGGCTAATAGCCACTGATGAATTTCTGCTCCATATGTTTATCTAATTCCCTCTTGAAGTTGTCCATGCTTGTAGCTGCAAACACCTTCTGTGACAGCGAATGCCATGTATCAATCACTCTTTGGGTGAAGAAGGACTTCCTTTTATCCGTTCTAACCCGACTGCTCAGCAATTTCATTGAGTGCCCACCAGTTCTTATATGGTGAGAAAGGGAGAAAAGTACTTCCTTCTCGACCTGCTCTATCCCATGCATAATCTTATAAACCTCGATCAGGTCACCCCTCAGCCGTCGTTTCTCCAAGCTAAAGGGCCCCAAGCGTTTTAACCTTTCTTCATAGGGAAAGTGCTCCAACCCTTTTATCATTCAAGTTGCCCTTTTCTGCACTTTTTCCAATGCTATAATATCCTTTTTGAGGTGTGGTGACCAGAATTGCACACAGTATTCCAAATGAGGTTGCACCATTGATTTATACAGGGGCATTATGATACTGGCTGGTTTGTTTTCCGTTCCCAGAGTCTCCCCGATTCTGTTTCAGCACTCTAGCTGCTTCACCATACTGGCCTAACAGTGCATGGGAATGTTTTTTGTACCGCCTGAAGACTCTCTCTCATCTCCCTTTAGGTCGGACACCCCCTACACTGTCATAGTTGGATCGGCAGAGAATGCCCGTGAACCTGGACCCGAACGGAGGATGATCCCTGAACAACAAATCCATGTTCTGTCAGTGCCAGGGGGGTAAAGGGAACCCCGCGTGGAATGAGTCCCCGGCATGGTTTTGCCAGCCGTCTGCGCCATGCCCAGGGCAACCTCGCCATTCCTCCTCCTCTTCCTGGTGGTGGGCTGGGCTGGGGGGACGGCGACAGATGGCCCCTACCTCAGCGTGGGGGACGGCACCGCCATGGAGTTCGACTTCCCTGAAAACAGCCACGGCATCTTCGTAGTGTCCTGCCGCTATCGGGGGCCAGACGCGTGGCTGACGGCGACCTCTCTGGAGCCGACGGTCTTAGTCGTTGAGAACGTCACCGCCTCCTGGGGAGGGGGCTTTGTGGTCACGATCCAGTCCAGCCTGGCGGGTTTGGCCCCGCTGCAGCTGCAGCTGTTGGAGCCGAGCCGCCTCGTAGAAGAACGGGCGGACTTCCGGATCCGTGTATCCGCTAGTGGCTCGGAGCCGTCCCTGCGGTCCGGGTTGGGCCACTTCTCGGAAAACCCGGTCCTTTACGCCCTATTGCCTCTCATTTTCCTCAACAAGTGTGCGTTTGGGTGCAAGGTCGAAGTCGAGGCGCTGAAAGGCCTGGTGCGCCAGCCACATCCTGTGGTGCTGGGCATTCTGGGCCAGTTTGTGGTCATGCCCCTTTACGGTTACCTCATGTCTGTGGCCTTTTCTTTGCCGAAGCCCCTGGCCTTGGGGTTGATCATTGCCTGTTCGTCACCCGGGGGTGGCGGTGGCTACCTGTACAGCCTGCTGTTGGGGGGCGACGTGACAGTTGCCATCTCCATGACCCTCCTGTCCACGGTTGCCGCCACGGCGCTGATGCCCCTCTCCTCGGCCATCTACGGCCGCTTGCTGGGTGCTCACGAGACTCTCCACGTGCCCTTCCTCAAGATCCTCATCACCCTCCTCTTCATCGCGGTGCCCATCTCGACGGGCATGCTGGTCAAGTGGAAGCTGCCCCGCCTTTCCCGCCTCTTGCTCCTCCTCATCAGGCCCTTCAGCTTCACCCTCATCGTGGGGGGCCTCTTCATGGCCTACCACATGGGAGCCTTCATCCTGGCCAACGTGCAGCTCCCCACCGTGCTGGCCGGCGTCACTGTGCCCGTCTTTGGCCTTCTGCTGGGCTACCTGCTGGCCTGGTGCCTCGGACTGCCTGGGCCTCAGAGGCGGACGGTGAGCATCGAGATCGGGGTCCAGAACAGCTTGCTGGCCTTGGCCGTGCTGCAGCTCTCCTTCCAGCGGGCCCAGGCGGATTTTGCCTCACAAGCACCGTTCATCGTAGCCCTGAGCAGCACGTCGGAGATGCTGTTGTTGGTTCTGGGGCATCTGGTGTACAAGAGACTCTGCTCTGCCGGCTCCTGAGTGCCTCTTGGGAAAGGGAGAGGCGGATACCAAAGATGTCGGGCATGGCCTGTGGGGGAGATACTGTTACCAAAGGCCTGGCGAAGCCGGGCTTGGGGGTGCCCCCTTCAGAAGGGTGTGTGGGTACCGAGAACTCGGCCTCAGGACCCCTCTGAGGAACGGCTCAGATACCAAAAAGGGCCTTTTAAAGTTACAGGAATCCCAGCGGGGGGCTGTGATGTTGGCAGTTTACATTACCAGGCCTTTTAAAAAATATATATCCTTCCCCTTCTCTAATCCATTTGTCTTTCTCACCAACGGAAGGTGGCTTGGAGACGAAGATGTACAGATTGGGAGGTGTAAAATGGGGGTGGGGGATTGGGGTCCCCCCCACCAGGAATACAGGGTTTGAATAAAAGGAGATAAAAGGTTTTGCATTCTTTGTGTCTAGGTCTCTGGTTGTTGTTTTTAATCTCTTGACAGGTGTTGGGGAAATGGGGGATGTTCAAGGAATAAAGATGGATGTGGTGGGAAATAATAATTATTTTTTTAAAAATTCCAGTCAGTTCATAGGAGTATGGAGGAGGGAAATATTTCTTCTTCCCCCTCAGGGTTTTGAAGGTTGTCTGAGGGAGACGTCACAGCCATGGGTGTGTTCACTGTAGTTCAGATTTTAATAATGCAAGACAAACTCTTTGACTTGGCTTGAATCCCACAGACATTCCTCTGACGGAACAGATTTCCTGTCTGCAGAGCCTACCTTTCCTCCCGCAGCCCAATTTGCCCCCTGAAATGTTGTTCCGGGGGGGCAGGGAGTTGCCAGGAGGAGCATGTGGGGGTAAGCAACAACCACTCCTAAATAAACCAACCTTCTGTCTCCAGCCTAGGGTTGTGCTTGGCCTAGAAAGGTTATCTTTCGTGTCCTCCTTCCCAGCTCCCTATAGCAGAAGGCAGTGGTCCCCAACCTTTTTTGAGCCTGTGGGCACATTTGGAATTATGAGACAGCGTGGTGGGCGGAGCACAAAAATGGCTGCCATAAAATGGCTGTCACAGGAGGTGGAGCCAGCCACAAAATGGCTGCCGCAACTTGGCTTTCACTCACACAGTGAAGATCCTGGTGCTGTGGTGGCAGCTGCGGCCGAAGCAACGTTTTTAAAAACCTGCACAGCCAATCAAATCACCGAGAAGCCTCGCTCGGCGAAAGCCCCACCCTGCCTCAGCCACTTTGTAGGTGGGCCCCAGGAAAGGTGTCAGTGAGCTCCATGGGCACCCCATTGGGGACCCGTGTCTTAAGGTCTGGCTAGCCACACAGCTGAGGCTATGTTACACAGTGGCTGTGCAGTGTGTAAGTGAGTGGGCTGGGCATCCCAATTAGCCAGCCATTTCTCTCCTCAGTGTAGTGTATATCATGCGACCGACAAATGGAGGGAGACTGGAAGGAGTGTGGGCATGTAGTATCTGAAGCCCCTGCTATGAAGAACATCTTAGGTGTTACCTTTGTTTGCTGTTGCAGAATCTGGCCTGCATGCCCTGTTATCTGTACTCCATAGTAACTGTTTGGCCACTTTGTGAAACAAAATGCTGGCCTATACATAACATGAGAGAAGCCAATGTTGGATCAGGCCAATGGCCCATCCCATCCAGTCCAACACTCTGTCACACAGTGGGCAAAAATGCCAGGTGCCCTCAGGAGGTCCAGCAGTGGGGCCAGGACACTAGAAGCCCTCCCACTGTTGCCCACCCGCAAGCACCAAGAATACAGAGCATCACTTGCCCCAGACTGAGAGTCCCTATCTATATCTTCTGGCTAAGAGCCACTGGTGGACCTCTGCTCCATATGCTTATCCAATTCCCTCTTGAAGCCATCCATGCTTGTGGCAGTGATTTCCATGTGTTAATCACTCTGGGTGAAGGACTTCCTTTTATCCGTTCTAACCTGACTGCTCAGCAATTTCATTGAGTACTTGTATAGTGAGAAAGGGGAGAAAAGTGCTTCTTTACCTGCTCTGTCCCATGCATAATCTTAGAAACCTCGACCATGTCACCCCTCAGCCGTTGTTTCTCCAAGCTAAAGAGCCCCAAAGCCTAGATAGATCACTGGTCTCCATCAGGGCTCTTATGTAGGGTACTGCTTGTTGGCCGCCATGGAAAGTTCTGTCCTAGTGCTCGAGAGAAATGGTGAATTTGATACTGGCCCAATTTCTCTCCTCACCTATTGCCTGGACATTTCAGCTGCCTCCTCAGCTATACCCACAACTCCTTGTAAACCCCTTTGGTCTGTTTTTGGAGCCTTTCAAACTCCGCCCTACACCCCGACCCATCCCATTATCTAATTCCAGTTCGGATCAGAGATGACGTAGCACACGATGTAGAACGGCATTTCAGACACCTGTATTTACCTGAAAGGAAGAATGTAAGACGATCCCCTTAAGAAAATGTTAGACACACAAAGATTTGGGTTTTTTAAATTATTGTGCTTTGTACACAGATTATTTTTTCTTGATGACACACCTTGGCGGAGGGACTAGTCTTTTCAGGTAAATAGGGTATTATGAGTAAAAATGACCAATCCATATCCTGAGGCCCTTTTAGCTTAAATTTGGCAGTGGGAGAGAGAACTGGGGGTGGGGGGAGTGTAATGGTAATAAGGTATTAACACAAGTGCAGTTATAGTCGGTTTCCCTCATGTGAGCAACAGCAGAAATGATGTGAGTCCTCTACCATCTCCATTTAAGAGGTGCTCGGCGAGACTTCAGGCAGAACCTCCTAATGGTGTACTTTGCCCATGCGGCAGCCATTTTGTGACTGGCCCTGCCTGCTGTGGCGGCCATTTTGTGCTGGCCCCACCTGTTGTGGTGGCCATTTTGTGATGACACCTACTACCTTTCCTGAAGTGTCCACAGGCTCAAACGTCCTAGGAACCCTTGCTTCAGGGAATTGGGAACTTGGAGGTTAAGCTATAGGCGGTGGAGAGATGTGCCACCATGCCAGTGTTCTTGGAGGGAGCTCCGGGTAAAGAAGGCAGGACAGGAATTTGTAGGATTAGGAGGAACTTAAAAGGGACAGAAGCGGTTAATGACTATTAGTCGGAACAAGAAGACACCCCTGTGTTCACCACAGAGCTCCCGTATCTTTTAATCTATTACTGGACATTACCCATTTGATTGGCTTGGCTATTTCCATTACTCCAGTGTGCGTCTGTTGGACAAAGGTTACTTTCCATTCTCAAAGTAACTCAGTAGTGGACAGGTGTCATGTGTTGCTTTCCTACTTGGGGTATCCTGTGTCAGCCCAGATCTAGTGCCCTTCAAGTAAGTATGCATCGATTTTTTACCAACAGCCCCCCGCTCCCGTATAGAGCCCCCGGCCTGTTACATAGTAGAACCATTCACTTTCCAGCTTTACTGCTTCCTTTCGCCACGCCGGGAACGATCTCAATTATGGTAGGGTCCGTGGGTCAAAATGGATGGTTTGGGAGGGTTGGATTTTTGCTCAGCTCTTGTTGTGGATGCTAAATGGAATTGCCCCGGTGCCCCAGTAGAACAGCAGTTACAGAGATGGAAGAAACTGGAAATCACTCCTTTTGTATTCTGTAGAAGTCGTTACCTTATCAAAGTACAGCAGACTCCAAACTCCATTATTAGTTGTGAAGGTTGGATAAGCCGAGTCGAGTGTAAAGGTGGGGGGGAGGAACAAAACTCATGTGTTGGAATGAAGATACCTTGGAAGCAATGGATATATAACAGGCCTCAAGAAAGAAAAAAAAGCCATGTGCCTTTAATAGAGACTTCACTTGTGTAAATGGGCCGCTGTGCCTTTTCATGGCACCCCCCCTCCCGGATTGTTGGCAACGCTTTGTATGACAGTGTTGGCACAAGCTGGTGGTTTCTAACATTTTATCCTGCGGTGTGAACTCGGAATGTTGGCTGATAAATGAACGCTCAAAAAATCTACTCTCTAGTGTCTTTTCTGGTTGAAACTTGTGACCTTTTAAGTACAGAGCCAGTTTGGTACAGTGGTTAAGCGCACAGGCTCTGATCTGGGAGAACCGGGTTTAATTCCCCACTTCTCCACATGCAGCTGCTGGTGCGACCTTGGGTCAGTCATAAGTTCTCTCAGAGCTGTTCTCTCAAAGGCAGCTCTCAAAAGAGCTCTCTCGGCCCCACCTACCTCACAGGGTGTCTGCTGTGGGGAGGAGAAGGGAAAGGAGATTGTAAGCCGCTCTGAGACGCCTCCGGGTAGTGGAGGGTGGGGTATAAATCCATTCTGTTCTTCTACTACTACTAATGAGTAGCCTGATTAGCCGAATCTCGTCAGAGCTTGGAAGCGAAGCTGGATCGGCCACAGTTCATACTTGGGTGGGAGACTGCCAAGGAAGTGTTACGCGGAGGGGGGCAACGGGAAACCACCTCTGCTCATCTCTCTCCTTGAAACGCCCATGATCCCGGGCTCTCCATGAGTCGCTGCGCCTTGGCAGCAGGCTATTGTTATTATTTTAAGTACTAGTGAAATTATTGTGTTTAAAGATGTCACGAGGCTCTGTTTGACAACAGCGCACGAACATAGCTATGCGTTCCCGGAATGGGAACTTTGGTTTGCCCAAGACAGATGTGAACATTAAAGTACCGTAAAGAGACCTGTGGCAAGAATAACACCAAGCTTTAGACAGGGTGGGGCGCAATGCTCCCTCTAAGCTGTGGAGTTTTGTGAGCAAAAATCCTACTTTGTGAGCGACCGGCATTGAAGTTGTGAGCGAGCAATTTGGCTACTGCGTAAATGAGTTTGCTCTGGAGCCCTCCTTCCTGAGCTAAGACAAAAATGTGTGAGTCAAAGGCTAAAAAATCCATGAGCTCGCTCACATTGACTCGGCTTAGAGGGAACACTGGGGAGATAGGCAATCGACAGCCCCCCAGAGAACATATTGATGTTCAATTCTTATCCCAAGTAATACAGTATGACCAAAAAATGAACCTAGGCTCCGGTCACACAGGCTGGAAAATGCGAGGGGGGGGGAGCGTGGCTGTTTGCCCCGGAGCAAAATAACGCGTGGCTGCGCGATCAGGCGTCCAGTTGAGGTCCCGTCGAGGTCCCATGGTTAGGGGGGAGGTGCCAATCACACTACAGGCAAAGAAGCGGGGCGGGGCGGCAAACAGGGTTGTGGTTTTTTAAAAAACTGAAGTGTGCGCATGCTCCATTGGGTGCTTGTGCGCATCCCATGGAGACTTGGGGAAAAAAACCCTTTTTTCGAGGGGACATGGGCGGGCGCCGGATTCCACCGGAAACGCGATCAGACGCCTGCCCTTGCCCCACAGTTTCCGGAAACTAGTACCTCGGAGGTACTAGTTTTTTACCCCGCATCTTCAGCGGGAAGCCTCGGGTGAGCCACGGGAGCTCTACGCTT